AGTTACCTATATTTACCCCACATACACAATACATGCAGTGTATTAATTGTAACAGTTTTCTGTAATATATAATAATGTAACGAACAAAATAAAAATACAGTTTCCCAATTTACTGTTTTTATATTTAGTATGTATTAGTATATATTGTATGACTTTGTAAAATTGAACAAAATTTTGCAAAACAATTCTAAACTGAACATTCGAAATAAATATTGGATATATTATGATAATAAGCTTTTTTTGTAATTTGCATTCATTAAATATTTATATTATGATAATCTTAAACTCTGAGACTAAGATTTTAATCCGCTGTAAATATATTTGATGTTTCATTAGATAATTTAGTGACGGTAGTCGAAAAAACTGCTGTAACTCATGACTTCTAGTATACCTATTCGAAAGTGGAAGAGGTATACCTATAATACCTTTATTTACAATGTCATTAGTTGTGTGAAGAAAAGTTAACAATATAAATAATATTGCAAATATTGATATAGTCTCGGGAGACAACAGAAGTTGGTATTAAAACCTCATTGCGATTTTAATTTGTCTGAAAGGAAATACAGAGGGAAAATATTTAATTTACTTCCCTCTGAAATAATCTAAGTAGTAGCAAAATAAAAATATTACTGTCCTGCCGCAGCCCCGTGCCTAGCACCGAACTCCATTTTAATGAGTATTTAATTATGTCAATTACTTGTAATACACAAGTAGAATACTAGATAGATGTAGATACTAGAGCCTAGCCAATTTCTGATCGCAAAGATTTGTAAGTATCTGTAATGTAATTATATTATAATATATACAACAAACTGTTATTTTCTCTCGGGACTATTTTATTTATAATTAACACAATCTCTTTCACCGTATACATACAGTACAGTTCCATTTTTAGTTGATTCTATTTTGAAGAAGTTTACTACATCTACTTTGGCTTATGTTATGTTATCTTATGAAACATTGATTATAATTACATATAAAATATAGCGAATATATAAATACATTTAAAAAATAGCGAGAGCCGTTTTTTAAGGTTGTAAGTCATCTAATAAATTTTATACAATATATTTTTCTTATTATAAGTGTCTATAATAGAACTACATAAATAAAGGTACATATTTTGATTTCAATCTAATAAACTATGACGATAATTCTTCTTAAACCTTTAGAAATAGATTATGCATATTAAAATTTACAATGACAAATCCCTGGAAACTGTCATTGAAAACGAAACTAAGGTTAAGGATTTCTGTTCAATTTTCATCTAAAGATCCTCGAACTTTATTCGTGATAGTATAGGTATTTGCTGAAAATTTCCAAGATAGAGTGCAATCAAGAACTGTTCAATCGCAACAAGTTCCAACTTTTCTGTCTTCGAGTCCAACTTGTGACCCGTGGCGAGGTTTTATCTTCATCGCGCTCTGATGAAATTTTGAAAGTTCACAAGAATATTGAATTTGCCGTACCTAAGTACTTGAAAATTCTATGAGACAAGTTTCGCAAGAAAATGCTTCTGATAGTGAATTGAAATGAAGAAATCTATGTCTTATACCTAATCAAATGTTTAAAAAATTGTGACTGTATAAGAACAATTTGATAACCTTTATCTAACAACCATAATCAGTTGTTAGGAGAAGATATTATTTTTCTCCATCTATTTCTATATATCTAAATTTCAGATAAGCTAATAATTAATTTATTTTCTACACATGAATACATAGGAGAAAATAACATAATATGTTATAATAAGCTGTACCTACGTTAAATATAATCAATGTATATAGGTAAGTATCTTAAGATAACCACTTCTTTGCAGAAGGAGAAAAAAAATTTAACGTTATTGAACTATGGTAACATTTAATTTTATTCTCAAATAGCTTAACTCTCATATTAAAATGTTGTTGTAAATATTTATCTACAGTACCTATGTGTCAGAGCGATAAACCAAACACAATTTATTGTGTATTTTATCAAATATGATAAATTGTAATAACTGCTAATATCGCTTTTAATTACCTATTGACTTAATATATTAGTTACTAGCTTAATGCGGGTAGATATAATTTTCCCCGTGATCTAATCTATTGCTCCTATAAGGAAATTTTAAAATGAAATTTCCACTGAATTACTTTCGATAAAATATATGGAATGTTCTCTATGTGCTCGAGTAGTTTGAAAGCTTAAGCTATAGCTATAATTTAACGAATTAGTTTAAAAGATTCTGTTAATTTAAAAACATGACTCCCTGTTGATCTATCTTTAACAATATTTATGTTATATTGTATGTAAAGTATATGAAATTAGCTTAAATATTACGATGACAATGAACTGGTCTAAAGTTGAGGTTGGTAAAAGGCCATAGGAACTCAAGGAAGGAAATTAAACACTGCAAATTCATTTAATTTTGATTTAGTTTTTTACAAATATTAATCGTGGGGTGATCGTTTTGTCTAAAGAATATCACATGAATTTAAACAATTTTTTTAATTACCTGTTTTAATTGTAATAACAAACTCTTACAAATTAACATAATAGGTAGGTACATCCCAGCGCAGCGCCTGAAACCCGCTTTCACTGCAAAGTATGCTAAGTCATTTATTAATGGAAATCCATGAACGAAACAAAAGACAGGCGACGAAGCCAGGACAATTTATCATTCAATAAGACAGCGGTGTATTGAAGCATGCTTCAGTTGCAGCCGACTTAACACAATTGAGTTCGTTATTCCAGCGCATTGTTCGAGCAATAGAGACTTACGGCGATCCGCAATCAGAAGCAGATTTGCAGAGTTCATAGAAATACAGACACACCATAACAGGCTTACGAGTATTATTGCGAGAGGCAAAAATTATATACTTTCCTTTGTTTCTAAAATTATATGCATGAGTGACCCTGACTCTCCTCTTTTGCCGCTGACTAGTTGCGCTTACAAGCTGTGTTCCGGTTTTAAAGTTTCAATATGGCAGTGAAAGTACGCCGTATGGAGGAACAACTAATGGTGGTAAAAAGGAGGGATGTCTTTTGCCTCATTACTTGCAATAACTCAAGCCAATTTCTAGAGACAATATTCACAAGGACTCTCTGTAGATAACAGAATGTCCTTATTGGTTAATCTGTTATTGTTACACCGCATTATCCCTACATTTTTACCTGACTACCGACAACTAGTAGATAATATTTTTCTAACGTATGTTTGTAAGATTGTATCTTTGTCCCAACATCTTTGTAGATGAATAGTCGTCAAAAATACTACTAATCTATAGCTTATTTGTTTATTTTCATACACGCCGGCACAGAGACGTCAAGTTATATAAAAAAAAATGAGAACAACATTGAAATTGTCTTCTATTATCATTTAAAGAGAAATAGATAGATTGTATATAAAAGAATGAATGAATGACGGCATAAAAAAAATGTGGTAACTATAAAATGTCACACTCAAACTTATCAGTCCAGATAATTTAAACTTCGATACTTCCAATTTAACAAATGGATCTCCTTTAAATATCGACGTGTTTAGCAAAATATCGCTTCATCGGATGCATTGCTTTCTGTTTGTTCTTATTTTCAATTTCATGTAAAGCGATTCTATAAATTTTAAAATCGCTGCACAGACAGGAAGTCAGATCGAAATCGTGGCGGTTGGGAGGAAATTGCTCATTCTCACGCGAGCGACCGCCCGCACCCGACGACCCACCCAGGGAATCCGTCCTAATGGAAAAAGTTAAAAAAATATACAAAACTTTTTATATTACGAACGCCTCGTCGAACTTATGCAGATGTAGTGGATATTACTAACCTGGCCAAGCATTAATAAAACTTAGATCTTAATAATTATTACCTATAATTTTTTAATACAACTTGCTACAAACAGATAATTATATAAAGCCTACGTATTATGAATGCTTATTATACAGCTACATATCGCTGAGTATGTTTTAAATTAACATGATATGATCCGAACGTATGGTACGTTCGGACTCTCTCAGATTAATTTGTTTTATCATAGGTGCTTCAATCAGGGAAGAATTACTCAGAAATATAAATTGATCATATTTTTGGATTCGCTCAAATAAAAACATTATATTGTACAAGTCTGGATAGACCTCGATTTTGCAGAATTGTAATGAATAAATAATGTTTCATAAAATATAATCTGTACTGTATAATCTGTGTTTAATATTTTGGTTAACATTACATAGGCAAATACCATCTTCTAACTTCATTTCGCTTTAGGCGCTGTTTAGGCAATACATGACCGTTGCGTTATTTAGAGGACTATAAACACAATTTTGAGTTTTCTTTTATAATTTAAGCATCTCTCAGCATTTATAGGTATCTCGATTTATACAATTGTGAAATACAATCATGATAGCCTTTGGAAGCGCAATAGCTCGTCTTGTGTACAGCGTCGATTTAGAAAGCTGACCGCCTTATACAAATCAATCAACATCGGAATATGTCGCTTCGCACTATGGCTCACTCTTGTATTGTACACAAGACACTTACATATCCTACTTATACACATTATAATAGATAAGATTTTTTATTTACTGTAGATTACTTTCAATCAAAGATCTACCTACAAAACCAGATTGGTTTGTTTATATTGAGATTAAACTCAAGAGTAGCTCTCCTAATCATGATAATATATTCCTATATTTAACTATCTGGTAATCTAATTTTCATTTTATAATTTTTTGTACATTATGTATCATATATAACATACATCTATTACATCAATCGTATATTATACTCCTATGATGTGGATTCCAAAAAAATCGTTTTCGTGTCGCAAATATTGTATGACTACTAATCTGATTATTTATTTATCTATTAAACAATCCACACCCATTATCGAAAATAAACTTCCTTGTGCAATGAAAAATGTGAAAATATGAGTACGTGCGTAATCATTCTATCGATTCAATGATAAACATAGATAAAAGATAAGTCCGTTAGAGGAACGGCGTACGCCAATATCATAGCATATAGTCATTGTTTCGTATTACATTGTGTGTGAATCAGTGTCTTCTATCCTCTTATATGTGTATATTTTTAATTTTGTTGTAGAATAAAAAAAATCAATATGTGGTAAGTGAAAGAATTTTGTGTTTTTATTATTATTATTATGTCTTGTATACTTATCATGAGATATTAACAAATCGTAAGTTATAATTAATTTTATTTTGATACAAATTTACCTCTTAACTATGTAGATATAAATAGCTATTTAAGGGGTAAATCCTTATACATTTGTACATAGTGAGCTAACTACAAGATTAAATATTTTTAACATTGCTACATACGTCTATAGTTCACTTATAAATTATATAAATTAGTCCATTACTTTATTTATATATTATTCTGTGATGCATCTCGAATAGCAGTACAATGTGGCAAGTAGAAATAAATTTTGTACCAAAAAATAAACGACTAATTACCAATCCTACTAAAATTGTATATGAGCTACGGCACAAAGTGACTGAAGAAAAAGAATTGTAAAATAATCATCGAAATGAATTCGTATTTATTCTTCAATTTACGAAAACTTTTGTGAACGTCACGTGATATATGTATTTGCAAATTCCGCACTGATTTTAAAAACTATGCAATCTATTAAACGAGTGAAGTTGTTTTTTCTGAAATATAGGTAATCTTAATAATAGTTCTTTCTCTTCTCCTTATCTCTCTGCACGTATTTATGTACTTGCACTTTATTACGACAAAACGTTTGAACAGATCTTAATGAAATTTAATATAAACATAGATTAAGATGTATGTATATAGGTTATTTAGACAATATCTAAAGAAATTAGACGAAAGCAGTGGTCACAGCTAGTTTCTAATAAATAATTAAACTCCCTAGTTTGTTATCACTGATTCTCAATTGATCGGTCTCTACTATTGAACATATGTGTTAATTTGTTGTTTATTTTAATTAAAAATTTGTAAAGGTTAAGTAGTTTTTAACGAAACAAACACGTAACTATCATAGTCTATATTTGATGATGTTGTAGTGCTGTGTAAAAGAGTCTACAATGAATATTAAACAAGACTTGGACCTGATTAATCTGGTTGGTTAGTCTGAAAAATTAATACATACCCTTCACTTACATAAGAGCCCTTCATGTTTGTATGTGTGCAGGTCACACATCTTCTCAGCTCGTATAGGTACCTAATAAACTGTCGCATCTATACTAGAATAAATCTGCATTGACTCTGTGTAGATTAAATCTATACCGGCACCTCCACATGAACATTATTTGGATAAAATTTTCACTAAAGTGTAAGTTTTATAGGCATATTACCCTTACGCTATTTCTTATAGAATCTGACATAATATTTCTTAATAAATCTATAAATCAAGTTTAACCTGTTAGACCTATTATTATATAATTAGAAATAGAGCCCGACTGTCGAAGAAATTCCGCACAAATCTTGTAGTTTACTAACAAGCAAACTTTTATTGATTTTTATTCAAATTTTAAGTGTGTATGTGATGTGACATTATAAAATTACTCGCATACATATATAATATTTTTTCTTTTTTTTACAGTTGCGTCTGTTCAATGTTGTGTAAGATCATCAGTTGCGTGTCCACACTACTTGTAATTGCAGCTATAGTTCTAATCGTACTGTGGGTTATGAACGTATTTAGTTCCGATGACAGTAAGTAATAAAATACATTTTTATATTATTTTAGTTTTAAAAAACATTTGCTTTATATTCCTGTCCCGCTCTAATTGCATAGTAAACTGAGATTCCTGTAGCAACTTAGTAATTTAAGTTGCGATTGATAAACTTTAAATTGAGAAGACTTCTCCAAAGATTTTGTAACATAGATTAACCATTTTAAATAGTATTTTCTCTATAATCAATGATGATGAAACAGAAGCTCATGAATTGACCACTAACAACTAATTTATATTTTCTATTAGTTGTTTACCAAATGTTTTAAATATGCAGAATATACGAGAAGGTAATATCTTGTCGTATATCTAATTTCTGTTACCATGATTTACCTATGTTAAATTCTATTGTATTGAGTAGAAAATGCATATCACTCCATATATGAATTTATAAAATGTTCATCTACCTGACGGATATCTATAACAAATAAGTATACTTAATTAATTTCTAATTTACTTTTACAGATACCCCCTCTCACGAAGAGCTTTTGAAACGCGCTGTTCGGTCACCGAAATTCATATTGCAAATGTGAATTAAATAATTTTAATAAATAGTCATAAACAAATGTAATATGCTAAAAAATTTATAAAATACCACTTCACTTAAAATAATGCAACAATTAATGAAAATTTTAGTTATAACTTGTCTAATATTGTATTCAAATTCTAAGAATCAGATACAAGGGAGTGCATTTAGATGATTGAATATATGGTCATCTAATATTAAAGTCTCAATTCGATCATCAATCGATCGATTTAAAAAAAGAAGATATCGTATTCAAATCCTTGATGAGTCAAGGAGATCCCTGAAACGATTTTATTCATTTTTTTATTATCGATTGTTCTAAAGTGTTATATTAACTATTTCTTTATTTAATATATAATAATATGTTGTAATTGTAATAATATATATATTTTTTAATTATTATGAAATCTGTTTAAATTACGTATCTAATTCCGTCCCTTCATTTTATTCATATCTAAAAATATTAGTATTTAACACTTATTAAATTATTTCTGAATACATGTTTTGTAACTTGTAATAGAATCCGGGTATAAATATATATAGTACGTACATTTTAAATTAATGTAATTGACATATCTATAAGCGAATTTACAAAAAGAGCTAGTCAATAGGTACCTATTAAATGAAGATTATTATTGTATTTGCATCTACAGACTATCATACATGTCGTATGTATTTCAAGTATAAATATGTATTTCAAGTATATAGCTTTATAATTCGACTACAAACCTCCAGATGATTTATATTATTACTTTTTTATTTATTAACTTCAAAGGGTACAAATGTATGTAACTTTTTAATAAATATTGTATTTAATTATTTTCTAGTAGTGCCTAAAGGTACCAACATCTGTACTATATTTAGTGTATATTGTAAAATGTACTGTATATAGTATTAAGTTATTTAAAAAAAATGCATGACATAATTTGTATTAAATTAAATATCTTCGAAATAACGCCTCCTTTTCATTTATCATTACAATTCAAGATTGACTGACATTGCTTATATTATTGTCAATAACTAACTCAATCAATAGGTTAGACTGATTGAAACTGAATACCTTTGGGCAGTATCTAATTAAATAACATTCAGTGTTATTCAAAGTGTTAATATTATATAATAACTTAAAATAACTATTGGAAAACTATATTTTTAATTAATCTATACCTAAAAACTAAGTGAGTATCTTTTTCCATATATATGAATAATTAGTTAGCTAGTTATGTTTTCTAACTACATTGCAGACTATAAACACATTTTATATATCTACAATATCTAGCTGTATATCTCTGGATAACTCGCACTACGCCATCTCGTCCAAGATAAGCAGAGCCTGTATGATTGATACTAGATAACTGCTATAAATACATTTTTTTATATACATACATAAATAATCAAAGAAAACACCCAAATCGTTACGAACAATCATACTCATAAATTCTAATGTTTGTACCGTGCGAGGAATCGAACCCGCGATCGTCGGAAGTAAGGCAGTGTGTTAAACCGCTAGACCACCAAAGCCGTCAAGTTGGATGGATGCCTCTGCTGTTTAATTGCATATATTACGTCTTAGATGCTTTCTTGCAAGCCGAAAGGTATGTAGTACAGTTAATGTACTTACTATGTATCTTTAACCTTTAGAAAACTCCGGGGTAGAATGGTTCAGCAGGACATAGTAAAATGTGTTCTTTGACAACCAATAATAATATATGTATATATATAATATAATAATATAAGTATATGCATGAGAATATCATCATTTCCGACCTCAGAAAATTACTATTTTAATTAATTGTCCATGAAGTTAATGAATAGTAATCTATATAAATCCAGATCAGCCTTATCTAGATTGATTTCTTTCTGTAATTATACCGGAACCAATTCTTTTCAGATTACGTTTTACTTTCTCCATTAAGTGTTGTTACTGCTTTCGTTTTAAAACTCAAATACTAATAGGTTTATCGTGTGCATATGACGTACTTACTGTACATGCAATAATATTGCATTAGTACAGGTATTGATTCGAGCGGGAGGACCTGTTATTATGCTTTGCCGTGTTTGAGAACATACTGCACCTCGATGCAGTCTTCCAAATCATAACACTGTAATATTCTCAGTTACTAACTAGAAATAATAGAGCACTGTGTACGTTAGAGGAGAAATACAGTAAAAATAATGTGGTGAGTACTTTTTAATAGCAGACTACTCATAATATACCTTTAATTTATTAATTTACGCACTATGTAAGCAAATTAAGTTACGCTCCTATGTACAAAGTATATTCCGTATAGTGTATAATAATTTCTGTGAATTTTGTATATCAACAAAGTTCATTATTATTTTCAGTAGTGACTGTCCTGAGCGGTCACTAAATAAGTATATAGTTGTGGACTGAAAACAAAGTTTTGACCAAAAATTCACATGTTTTTCCTATGTACAATATAATTCCATTGTTTACCATATTTTTCTATTTGATCTACATATATTTGATGTACTTAAATTTTTAATTATAGTGATAATTTGAGTTTAACGATACAATGCTTGGTTATGTCAAGCATTTTCGGATCAGCAGATCAGAAATCTGTTTTGTAGTGTTAATTGAATACACAATGAAGAACAACAAACAAATAACCGATTACAATATCAGTTAGTATCGTCCAGATAGGTCGTTCTGCAGTGCCCAGTCATTCGGGATCCTGGTAGTAAACTGGTAGTTCACAATATAGTATAATAAATTTGTTCTCTTTTTCAGCTGCATTTGCAATCTCTTTTATCAACTCTTATCCTTGGCTTTGAGTTTATTTTTTGTAATTATATTGGTTTTAGTTATTTTATGGATTCTCGGAGTAATATGATATTCAAATGTAAGTACCTAGAAATAGTGAGCTTTCCTATGTTAATTTCTGATACATTGATGGCAAAAATCAGTCAATAATTAGTTTAATTTTTAAGTTTTACAGTTATTGCATATATGTATATATTTAAATTTCTTAGCTGCAAGTTAATGTTTATATATTCAGTGTACAGAACTGAGAAGTAAGTTACTTATTTATTTGATCTGTGGTTCAGTGCCTGAGAGCAAGTATTGATCTTACTAATGTAGGTGATGTTGTATCATAAATACCTGATATACAAAATTTTAAATTCAAATTGACAAATAGAAATTATTGTTCTGGGCATGAATTGATGTTATTTTCTTGGAGACAATATCTACATTTTTTGCATAGATTAATATGTTACTGACATTCACAAATTTAAATTGCCACTGATTATTACTTATATGTTCTTATCACGATTTGTGAAATTTAAAAACATTAATATGTCGCAGCTCTACCTAGCGTCGCGCTGGCAAATTAGAAAACACGACATTCTCGTTGCTCAAAATAATTTATTGTTTACAACGACATCTACCAGTGCTAATTAAAACTGCTATTATGTGATTATTTTAGCAGTAAATAAAATTATAGGTACATATAAATATTGTGTGATATCACGAGACTTATTATTCAAGTTTTTAAGCGTCGAATACCTAAATACTAATATTAATTAAAAACTTACAAAATAGTGTACAGGACAGAAAGACACAATGCCTGTTTCGGTTAAAAAAAATATAAAGGTAGTATAAACATAATGCAAATATTAAATTGTAATTACCTATATTATATTTCAGATTCATGAAGAAAACTAATCCGAGCAATTAATACTATGTTTTATATCATATTACCTTAGTTATGGTTGTAATATTGATGCAAACAATAATAAGTATAATTATACTAATTAATTATGAAGTACCTAAGTGAGACAGAGGCAATCCACGCAGACGATTATAATATAAAGTTTCGGTTTCATGTAATATTATATTATGATGTTCCTAGTGTATAAATATTTTTTCTAGTATTACTTGTGTAAAACTTAGTGCAATGGATATAAAATTTATTTTTTAAAGATTTCTATTTTGTTTACATACGTAATATCCTACGGTCTCATCCTACCCACCTCTTCCTCATTCGTACACTGTTGCTTCAGCCAGTTTAGGTATATCGTATTAAAAAGACATAGACACACTAAGAGTAGGCACATATTTTGCGTTTATACATAACTAGCTGTGCCCGCGGTTTTACCCGCGTTAAATTTTAATATAAAAGATGGATGCATAAGCTACTGTAAAGTTTCATCAAAATCATTAGATTTTGCGTGAAAGATTAACAAACATCCATACTCAAAAACTTTCGCGTTTATAATAGGTATTATTAAGATAGAATAACAATGACAATTTCTCTATTATTCTATTAGAGACGTCAGTATTATCATTACTATAATAAAATTTATGAAATCCCTAAAACCTTTAATATAATGACGTAGAGTTTCGCGCCTGATGCATGATGATAGTAATGACCTATACTTAAATATGTATAAATAACGTATATGTCTGTAATAGACATAGACAAAGTACTGTAACAAAGTTTCCAATCATAATAATTATTTTTAGCGACTACAAAATCAATATCCATTTGAATATTATCACTAATGTCTGTAGATTTATATCTCTCGTACGTTTATGTACGAAACGTAACGTATCTATGTATCGAAATCTATTTTTACCATTTTATTGATACATTGGACATTGTGTGGACTTTCATCGCATTTTATTTTACACAAAATATAATGTTGCGGCCTCTTTTGACAGAACTGTTACTGGCCGCTTATAAGATGTGACTAGAACAGACGGAACAATTGAGGAGAGACAGATTCGCCCGAGAAAAAGACGGACGACAAAGTAGGAATTTTACTAATTATATTTTATTACTAGTTGTCCCGGCAAACGTTATTTTGCCTTAAAATAAAAAATAAAAATTTAGGGGTTGACTACCCCTAACATTTAGGGGGATGAAAAATAGATGTTGGCCGATTCTCAGACCTACTCAATACGCTCACAAAATCACAGATAATATAATATTACATAGCACAGTTAGCTACTACCTACCTATTACTTTTATGTTTGATATCCTATTAGATCAAAGTATAGCTGATAAATATAGTCCGCAATATATATATTAAACTTTTTATATTTTTAGACATTTTAGATGAATAATTTCAGTTCCGATGATGTACCGAACAAAATGTTGTTCTTGATTATAACAAAACTAATATTAGAACAATTAATGGAGTAAAAGCTATTTTACGTTAATTTACAATTTGTTCTATACATAGATGTATAAACTGTAACCAACCCTTGTTTCGTGGTAGCGTCAATTCTCAAGGGTGATTCTCCCTGTTATTTGAAACTTTGAAAACTTATAATTGAAGACCCACGTGACCAATTTTACCTTACATAGGTAACCTTTATTCTACAAATATATTCAAGACTAATAAAATAACCAAAAAGCCCATGTTAAGATTATTTGACCTTATCAAAGTTACGCAAACTATTCTTTTCTAAAGCAATACGTGACATTGATGAAATGTAATTTTGAATTTGCTACGTTATATAATAATTTGCTAAGTTTAAATGTTAAAATAATCGTGAAATATTGCCACAAAGATAGGTTTTCTGATATTCTGACTCTGTAAGAACTCTTCGTTATAAGTCTACACATACCTACCTACATTTAGCTCACTCGTACACAGTCGGATAAAATATAATACTCATAGTATAAGAAAAGGAAATGGATTGAGGGATTTGGAAAGGGGGAAGGGGATTGTAGGAAATATAACATGTCAGATTGACCTCCAGATGGTTTCCCATGGACACCATCACAACATACATCATACTTACAAACTTTCGCATTAATATCATTATTATTATTAAGATTACAGGTTGGATCGACATGGTACATCACTATAAGGCCGTTAGTACTAATGTCAATTTAACCTCCACCCGGTTAATTTAATTCTTAACTAATCATAATCAAACACACAAACAGTACCTAATTGAAATTATGATAAATAAAAATTAATGAATAAAATGTATAAATATAATATGACAATATTAAACCAAGTTGTGATTTTTTTATTTTAAATGATAAACGCAATGATGTGCCGCCTACATCAACTGTACGGTAGACTCGAGGTAACGTTGGCTTATGGTGGAACACTAGTGGTGGATGATAGGAAGAGCAAGAATTTGGATCAGAATGGACCTGGAACTGGAACTGGTGATGGTTTCAAGGGACACATCGAATAAAGATAGGCTTGATATGGTACTCGTACCTACACTGCTAGCACTAGTGCCATTACTAACAATGCATCGAGAAGGGAGAGAGGGGTGGGCGTGGGAGGCCTACACTTGTACCACATATCTGTAATTGTTCTAATTATTATTATTCTAATAAACTTAGGTAATTTAAAACTTCTAGATATTGTTCCAATTTATATGGCCCATATAAGACACACCAGTGTTCAAATAAAAAAAGGTTCAAAATGGGTTCACATAGAAAACACAACATAATAAAAGTCAGTTAAAAATAAGTTGCACAGCTTACATTCTACTGAAATAAGCTTATATAATTTATTCTCATAGATTATTTAGTGATGTATGCTAGATTCATGGGGATGTCCGACGTTCGAATTTTGAAGCAATTTTGGCAAATTCTGCCAATAGTGTAAAGATATCAACTACTCAAGTCTGTTTTTCCCTAATTAGAAAAAAAAATTGTGGTGCGATTTTGAGGGGGAATAGATATGAGGGTCTATGGACGAAGGAAATGTAAAGTTGGGTTAAATGAAAGTCTTGAATCCCACAAGACATAAAAAACAATATGTGTGTAATACTGGTATTAATGAAAAATCTAATTATTGTCTAACTTGTGGTCACGTTATATATGATTAGCTATTTCTATTATTGTACTTACAGGCCTATTTTTCTTTATTAAAAGTTTCCTTCAGAAACTGATATTTTTAACCTAAATTTGGTGGAGCGCGGGACGGAGCTTTGGCAACATTGGTTGTATTTTTGTTAATTTATGTTATTTGTAAAAAAAATATGTTCGACTGAAGGACTTGTATCCACGGTCAGGAGTAAAGAATTATTTGAAAAAAATGTTCATCGTCTGTCAGATACAGTTGTCATTGTCATTGACGTGACGTATTCTTTAGCATCTGTATATAGTTTGTGCATGACGTGTTTTAATAATAGTACATACATAATATTAGTCACAAATGTAAACACGTTTACCTTTGATTGATATCATACTAACTTTAGTGTATTTATTCAATTTGCTAATTTAACATCACAGCTCTGAATTAGGAACATTAAATTGTTATTCTGAAGAGAATATCTCTTCAATTGTTTAAAATTTATTTTTATGTGAGACAAGTAATTCAAAGTTCAGCCAGTTGTTTTGTTTTGAGAAAGCCGATATTTTTATGTAATTTGTGATTGGAGAGAATTTTTTACCATAATGTCAGGATGTGAGTATCTATTTCTATTTTTAAGTGCTTTTTGTTATTAGAATTCCGTCAGTAGCTACTACTATCATGAAATCATTACGAAATAGATGCGTAACAAAGGAACAATATTTCGGCATATAAAATCTTACCACAGCGCAATAGTAGAATATGATACCACATTATTAAATGAAGCAATACAGTAATGATCAACACGTTTCAATTATAATAACTATTTTTATCATTATATAAACGAAAACATCGTCATATTATATACCTGTACCTAAACTACGACGCTAGAATAGATTTGATTCTTTTGTGTGAAATTTGGTCCAATTGCATAATTCGATAATAGAGCTACTGAGCAGACAGCCATACATAGCCAGGTCAGCTAATATATTTAAATACACTTGCTGAAAAAACTACACGATAAGGTAGTTGTCAGTGCCATATAAGGGCTATTTTTAAAAACCTAGGAATATTTGATATGTGTCAATGGGTATCCTCGTGTAAAGGGAAAAAAAAATGAAACTCTTTGTAAGACTATGTTCAAATAGTTAGTAAGCTTAGGGGCACGTTCAAGTATTACGTAAGCACTATAGGGGGCGGGGGCTCTTTTCTTTGCTTATTTGGATGACCCCGGGGGGGGGGGAGTCTGTATGATGATTACGTCATCGGTCGTTATTTAATTTTTTACACGAATGGCAACCCTCACATTGTCTTTGTTAAAAAAACAATACATTAATTCAGAAATGTTTACGTAAGCATGGGGGGAGGGGTACGAGCTTTGCTTACTTTTGCTGACAACGGGGGATGAGGGGTAAATAATTGTGATAAATCTGCTTACGTAATACTTGAACAGCCCCTTAGTTATAATGGGTAGAGAATAAACAATGATGATGACATACTGGGCTGACCTCAAATACTACCATGTATGCAATAATATATACTTATATGTTAAGATGGATTTTCCCTCTTGGAGGCTAGTGAAATAAATATCACTATCAACATAAATACATAAAGAATATATATTTAAGTCAATCAATAAAATATAAATGACTATACAATAACTTACTGTATTTTTACGGAATTAATATACAGCTTAATATAGCCATTAATAAAACTCCTGTATAGAATAGAAAATTTTATGGAATATAGAAGTAGAAATTGGTCCAGTTAATGTCCTGCATTTAAATATCATTATACTAATTTGTTACATTTCTAATTTTTAATTTAGTTAATAGACATTTCATAGAATCGAACATCAATAAATGAATTTACTAATAAAATTATTTCCTTAGATACAAATGAAAATGATTCCTCTAATTGACCAGAAATGTCCTCTAATTAACAAATCTTGAATGGGAATGAGATTTTTAGTCATGGACATTTTCATATAAGTCTGTAGGTATGAGATTTTAACATATGAAAATCAATCAAAATGTCCTGAAGGGATTTTTTACTTCTTCATAAATCATATAAGATTCACCATTCTTATGAGAATTCCAGAGTATACACTAGAGATGAAACAGATATCCCGTAACTATCCATCCGGTATCCGGCGGTCTAATACTATCTGGCCGAATACCGGATAACTACTATTCGGCACTATAGACATCCAACCATATTAAAAAAATTTCTGAGTAAAAAAATATATTTTTGAAATAATTATTTGCTTTATTTATTTAGTCTTAGAATTACTTAAGGAATAAATATAGTTTTAGTTTTAAATTTTTAATCACTCAATAGTAAAGGACTGTTATAGAAAGAAAATGAATTTATTAGTCGAATACCTAATTCGATCACATGGTTGGCCGAATTTCCGGTATCCGGTATCTGGCCAAACTGCTATCTGTTTCATCTCTAATATACACTTTCTCACTAATAGCAATTACAATAATATAATTGTTTCTAACATAATCATTTTCAGATCCAGGTCAAACACCAATTAATCCTACACCAACGCAACCTGGTTATTATGGACCACCACCAGGACAGGCAGGCTACCCAGGGTACCCTGCCCCCAACCAAGGTCCTTATCAGATTGGATTCAATCCATACACAAATCAACCAGGTCAACCTGCACCAGGCAACCCCCCTCCTAGTGCAATGTCATATCCTGTTCCACCACAACCTTCAGCACCACAACCATCAGCACCAGGCTATGGTTACCCTGGTGTTCCAAGTGTGACTCCTCAGCAACCTGGTTACCCAAATGTTACTCCGCAGCATATGGGTTATCCAAATGTAACCCCACAGCAACCAGGGTATCCCATTGTAACACCACAAGCATTAACATGTAAGTTAATTATTTTTATTAAATGATATTAAAATAAATTAATGATAAGATATATGACATCAGTTGTCAGTAATCTATTAAAACTCTTCTTTACTGTGGCACACCCCCTTATTTAATATGGTCAAATGTATGATTCTCCCACAATGCCCACTTTTGTATTAATGAGTGTGATACAAACAGTATTGGTCTGAATATCTTCTATGTATTATTGTATTTATAAAAATATTTCTATCAGTTTTTCCATGACACAATTTCTACTTAGTTCGGGACTAGATGGAACTGTGTGAATTGTCCTGAGTTATTATTTATATTAGCGTACTCATTTTTGCCTATGAAGTCATCTGTATAATCTAGATATACATCTGTAGATGGACTGGGATAAAAGCCTGTGTTAGAATACAAGCTTTTATCCCAGTCAATTTGATAGTCACATAGTAAATACATACATGTATTGTATGATATGATTGATATACAACAAATATATTTTAACATTTATGATATTGGTGAGTTGGATTACCTTAATAAGTGAGATTGAATCATAATAACATAACAAAATGATACTGTACTTTTTGGGAAAGGTGACTTATTGGGTTAACAGGATATTTACTGTATTACCAGTATCCTATAACTGTTCTTTGTTCTGTTCACCCTTTATATTACATAGTTATTTACCTGTTTTCATCTAAAAATAAATGTACGCTTGCAAGCGAAAGAGTTAGCTAATTGCACAAATGGTGACTCATGGGAAAGTAAACCACTGAAATAACACTGTTATTGCACAACAAAAAAAATTATTTTTCAGCGGTAGTGGAGTGGATTCATACCAATCCAACTGGTGCAGTTGCGCTCGTGGACAAGGCAGTTGTTGCAGGCTATGAAGGTCACGATGGGAGCCCGCTCTGGGTGATCCGAGCTCGGTATGAAGGAGACTTGATACCTGGAAAACTCGCCATCAAACATCGTGTTGCTTATGTTGCATGGGGCGGTAGGGAAAACTCTGTGCAAAATATTGAGGTAGTTATTTATTATATTTACTTATAGTACATTATTTTATTTTGATCTACATTAAAATTAATTAACTATAAACTAATAATAGTTAACTTTAAACTACAGCAGTTTAAAGTTAACTATTATTAGCTTGTTAGGTGGCTTGTATGGTTCATGTCTCTGTACTCTTAAATTTCACTGCAATAACCTTCAGCTGCAACACTGCTTGTTAACTGAGTTACTTTATGGCAAAAATGGGTAACACAAACGCAGGCTTTGTATAAAGTCTACATAATGCGTAAAAAGATTGAATGATTATTGAGAAATTCCCATGTTTGCTCATTACCATAAGTTACCTACTACCACGTACCTAACGCGAGTAATAATAGTTACAAACATGGCACAAAATAGACTGATGAAAAACATATTATAAATAGTTGATTCATTGTTATGAATTGTTAATGATATGTTATGATTCATATTATTGAATGTTTTATCTATCTTATACGTTATCTCTAGCTTATATCATATGTATAATTCGACGACCTCGGTGGTCTAGCGGTTTAGCACTTATGTCCGATGGTCGCGGGTTCGATTCCTCGCACGGTACAAACATTTGTATTCATGAATATGATTGTTTGTATCGGTCTATGTATAATATGTATGTATTTACGAAAAAAAATATATCTATGTATTTGTATCAGTTATCTAGTACCCATAACACAGGCTTTAGCTAGCTTAATTTGGGTCTAGATGGCGCTGTGTGAATTGTCCTGGGTTTATTATTATTATTATTATAATTAAACATCCCTTGATCACTTCACCTAATCTTGATTGTTCGCGTAAATTATTTTGAATAAAGTATTTATTGTGCGTAAATGCTCTTCTATATTTAGGTAGATTATATTCGTGGAGACTCGTCATTCTTTTATGGTTATAGGTATATGTCTATCTAAGTTATGTAATCATTATTTATATCCTATAGATAGGTTATAGTGCTATAACATTCAAAAAGTAATTCTCGGCAGTTGGAAAGTTAAGTTGTTTACTCTCATATAGCCAATCGTTCCCTAAGCTCAGGCGTCTTGTTACAATTTGCAATGGCTTGAATATAAAATAAAACACTGAGTGGTAAATAAAAAATCACATTCCGATAGTTCTAGTTTAGCGAAATGAATTCTGTGACAATTTCATCCAAATGTTGTCCTGCAGATTTTACTTAAACCTTATCACAGACAATAAGACAGTTTTCGGATCGAAACAATTTTACTATTTTATTATATGTTTTTCTTCATTTAATTAAGTTTGCCTTATTAAATGTTACAGGTGCTATGTGCTCGTCCGGAAAGAGTGAGATGGGTGGAGAGTAGAGATGGCGCAGTACCACCTAATGCTATTACAGCGGGTAATACATCATCAGGAGAACCTTTGTTTGTGGGCAGAGCCAAACAGCAGGGATCATTGACTCCTGGCAAGGTATGATTAATCTAACTACTTACTACTAATTATATATCGAAGCGCTGTTCCCGTGAAAAACAACCTATATTACTTGCATATTACCTTGCTGTCTGTACTTTCAAATAGATGACATTATTAAAATTGGTCAAATAAAAATAAATTAGTTTTAAAATTATTCAAAATTAACAAACAAATTATGTCTATAATATTAGTAGAGATTATAATAATAATACAAATATAGACTAGCTGTATAGCCTGGCTTCAGTCGTGAATATTGAAAAAAAAGGTATCCTATGTTAATTTAGGGCATAATCTATTGGTGTTCCAAATTGTAATCTATTGTCCGTTCTGAGTAGTTTAATCAATTTTCATCCTTACAACTACCCTACTTTAGAGTGGGTTTACAAATAACCCTAATTTCTTTTACAGGTTCACCCTAGCCACAAAGTCCTGTACATATCTTTTGCTGGAAATGAAGTACCTCATAGAGTATATGAAGTATTGTGTACCGTCTAAAAGTATTCAGTTATTTATTTAATATATGTATTTTGCTGATGTTAATGGTTTTTAAAGAAATTTTTGTAGTGTTAATGGTGTCGAAAGAAATTCTGCTATCAGTAGCATGTGAGATCATAGATATTGTATGTCTATACCGACAACCCATATTGACTAGTATTGACTTTTAGGCGTCCAGACTAGTCTAGATGCAGAATTTGAATTCAAGTAACTGTAAGTGGACAAAATACATATTAAGTGATTTATTGACGTTGTTGATTTTTCAAAATAAGGTGGTTATACTGTAAAAGATCTGTTCATAATATATGATATTATTAGATATGTACGAGTATCTCATAATCGATAAGAGATAAAAGTAATAGAACTGTTTAGATCTTCTTAATGTTTAATAAGCATATATTTTTTACTGGTATTTCAATGTTTCGATGTTAAAGCGAAATATAACTTTTTAGATGTACTCGTATATTTTTATATTGCATCCTTGCATTGAATCTTTTTAAATAAATATGTTATTTTTCACATGTTCTTTTCATTTGGCCATTTCTTTTTCTTTGGATGAGTATCAAGGTAGGTTTAGGTATAATTAGGAGAATAACTTTTATTACAAGAATTATTTTAGTTTTTTTTTACCGTATCATAATTTAAATATTTCTTTACACTTCATTACAATGTATATGGGTTGAAAAATACGCTATTTCCCGTCAATAAAATAATATAGTTAATATATTAATTGAAATATCGTTAGTGAAATGTTCACAAAGTACTCGCTAGACGTACCATGTGAACTTCATACCTTTAAACTCAGTATGAACCATTTTCATTATTTCTATGCAACAGTACCTACTGTGTCAAAATTTATAAAATTTTTGGTTAATTGACTAGAATATATAAGGTTAGTTAAAGAAATATTTTAAAAGATATTGATTATAAATTATAACATAATTAAATCCTTATTAATGTTATAATTGCGAAAGTGACTGTTGTCTGTCTGTCTGTAGCGCTTACACGCCAAGACTACTAAACCGATTTAAATCAAATTTGGTAGTACTGAGAAAGACATAGGCTACTTTTTTATGCGAAAAAAGGGTTGAAAGGGGAGATGCAATGTTGTATGGAGGTAGCGTCATTTTTAAAGCTAGAAGCTGGAAACTTATCTTTTAAGCTGTTTATTATGTATTAATATATAAATAAAAATGACATAGTTCGTATGGAAATTCGACATTTTCTAAACTAGAACAGTGTTTTTTGTTAGAGTATTAAATATTTTTTGTTCATTTGGTACTATTCAACGCGAACGAACAGCTAGTACTAAAATAAATCAACAAGGAAGGTGTAAAATAAAGTGAAAATGATAACAAATAAATATATAAAAACATAACAAATTTAAAATCAGGTTTGAATTGTATTTGCGCGTCAAAGATTTTGTTGGTACAGTAACAACAAAAATTATGTTGTGCAGGTCAAATATTACATAAATTATGTATTATACAGAGTTATTAATCTATGCAATCAATTAATGGTACCTAACCGTGATTACAATCGCTGGAAGTCAACCGACCGTCGTGGAGATCTTTCGGAAAGGCATTTGTTCAGCACTGGACGTCTGTCTTCCAGGTGATAAATGATGATAATTTAATACCAACCATAATTACCTAAAAGAAACGTCTTTTAATTTTGTAGCGGGATGGGTATCAATCACGTCACAGCTGTTACGTTATGAGTGTCGTGTCGTAATAATTTGTGATGAGGTGTCGCATTGAAAATATGTAATAAGATAGTCAAATGCGTGTAACGGAACGTAAATTAAGAATGATAATTGGAGTGAAACCGCGTACTTTATCTTTATGACATTTTGTAATTAATCTCGAAGTAGTTGATCTACTAATCACTATCAATTATATTGTTTTTAATATGTGGTGGTATTCCTATTGATTATTATTTATTAAAAAAATGGTTGTCTTTAAATAACATTCCTCTATTTATTCCATATAATAGAATAGGCATAACATTTACTAAGAATGACTGAAATTACTATTTCACGCAATTTTCTATGATAGGCAGATTTCAACATATGTTTTTTCGTTTACAAGCGAAATTATATTTATTTTAGTAAAGTTAAAAATGCAAAATATATCATATCATCACCAGGATATATGGAACACCAATCAGAAGAGCGTCAGTACAAAAACCGTACCGGGTACTGTATATTTGGTACGTACCATTTGCAACAGTTCTAATTTATATATAGTTTGTGACTAGACATGTTATAATAATAGTATCTACATCCTTATTCTTCCTTACTAATATATAAATCCTTCCTTAATAATATATAAAACCAAAGTAACTGTTTGTCTGTCTCGCTTTCATACCAAAATTACTCAACCGATTTAAATGAAATTTCGTACACGATAGTCTAGACCCTGAGAAAGAGTAGATGAAAGGTTGTATGGAAGTATCGTTATTTTTACAGATAGAGTCAAACTTATTTTTAGGCTGTTGATTAAATATAAATAAAGAAAAAGTATGTATCGAAGTATCCTGGTTTATAACGCTGGAAGCTTGAAACTTATTTTTAAGGTTGTTGATTTAAGATAAATAAATCTGACATTCAAAGTTTGTAAAAATGTTCTCCTCAAAGGAATAAAGTAAAAAAGGGAATGTAAGTTTGTACGGAAATTCGTCATTTTTTAAACTTTGTTAAGGTCGCTGTCCTACGCGGACGAAGTCGCAGGCACAACTACAGGTAGGTACACAAATATAAACGCGTAACTAAATTGTTTACTGAATAAAAAAATTGGTTAAAATTTATCTAGTTCAGTTCACAAGCAAGTGTTACAAAGTTCAGTCAATTATTTTGTTTTGAGAGAGCCGATATTTTTATTTAATTTGTGGACGGGGAGATTGTTTTTTTACCATAATGTCGGGATGTGAGTATCTAATATATTTATGGGTCAAAATCACCAAGGTGGCAAATTCCAAATTCTGTTTTATGATGAATTTACCCAGCAACTATTACTTTGATGATCAACCTAAATGATCCATAAACTTATGTTTAAACAATATTTACGGGCACGTTTTTATAAGGTTTATAATAATATTAAATTATGACATAAGTATTTATTTTTTTTATTCTTCAATCGAGCGGATATATCTATGTTACTTATACATATAAATTAAAGAAATGTAATAAAATTCCCAATAAAGATGTTAAATAGCAAAATATAGTGTAAATGGTAATATTATGACTATTTTTTTGTCTAAATTATTTAAATATGAGAAATACCTCTATTGTGTTATATACACAATAGAGGTATTTCTAATTAATATGCTATATCTAGGTGTGAGAAGTTCGGCATGTTTTAATATTATTAGAGTTTTTTTTTAAATATCTAAAATAATCGTGTCATAAATTATCTGTGAGTTTAGTGTTGTTCCCGGAAGGGATGAGTTGTTTACGGAATGATGTCTGTGTTCCCTAAATGACGATATAGATACAATTTAGGTTTATAAAATCATAAGCAATGTTTTTGGTACATCGTACTTATTTATTCATTTTTGCATAAGGTTCCTAATTAACAAAACCGCAACTTAAAACACTTTACAGCCTTTTAATAGCTGTACACAGCCGATTAGAAATTCTTAATAATCATATTAAACTTTTATTATAATGGTAATAATCTTTTATTCTAATATATATAAATCAAACCATTTAAAAATTATAATTATTGTTTTTTAGTTATTATATACACGAATTTTGATATCAGACTTTAGAATCAATGTACTGGTTCTCTCTTTGGCATAAAAGTCTTACCCATATGAAGCAATTTATATTTCCTTGCTATGTTATCGCTAACACATTTTTGGAAGACTTCCCTCTCTTTGGATTTTTTTCATAAAATACAGGCCTTTTGTTTTAATTTCTTTTCTTTTCTTCTTAGTCAGTTGCTAATACCATATAATGGCTATCCTTTTGTTACAGACTTTTGGAATATCAAATATCATGATTGCTTGAACCCATTCATTGAGTCAATTAGGAATACGTTAGCTAACATATAAATAAACTCATTTTATCATATTAGTTAGTAGAATTAGCTTAATAAATGAGAATAAACCATAAAAACATGACAAAAATATATATCCAATAAGATTTATCTACTTTTTGAGCAACTTAGTGCCTAATTAGGTTAACAGGATAGGTACTTATCTACTGTATTACCAATAAGTAAGTTTCGGTCTGTCCATGCTTAATATGTATTGTATATTAGGTAGATATATAAGTAGATATTGCCTGTTTTTTTTTTTAAATAAATATGTGCGTGCAAGATTTTACTAGCTATGTTTACATAACTAAATAGCATTATTATTTCAAAATAAATCTTCTATTTTAAGCGGTAGTGCAGTGGATTCATGCCAATCCTACTGCTGCAGCCAGTCTCGTAGGGAGTGCAGTTGTTGCAGGCCATGAAGCTTATGATAAGAGCGCTCTCTGGGTGATCCGAGCTTGGCATGAAGGAGACTTGATACCTGGAAAACTGGCCATCAAACATCACAAGGCTTACATTCCTTGGTGGGGTAAAGAACACATTGTGCAAGATATTGAGGTATTAATTTATTCTACATATATTGTTATATTAAATTCTATATTATTATGTTTTGTTCTGTATTATGATTAATTAACTGTGGACTGATAATAACTTAACTCGATATGAATAATAATATAATATTTTTTATACTCTGCGGTATGACCTCTTTCTTCTATTTTAATAGACAACGGTAATGGAATGCTAAATACTGCCATTCAACTCTCTTTCGCTTTAGATTGATAAATTTAGAACTCAAATTCCCCTTCCCGTCCCCTAACCCCTCTCACATTCTAACTTTTAATGATATATCTATACATTTCTCTATTCGTCGGAATTATTCCAGCCTTCTATAGGTACCTCTAGCATAACTGTGATTATTTTCGGTACCTATATCATATTGTTTAGTTTCATTTTTCGAAATACCCATAATTTTTAGCTTCCTTTGCATAAAATTTAAAATCATGACGTTGCTTACGTTAGGTGGTCTAAATCATCAGTACAATGGTTAAAAACTTTGCTGAAAATAGACTTATAAATAAAATGATAAATTATTGATTCATTGCTATAGAGTGCCTAATGTTATATTATGAATCAATATATCTGACTTCTATCATATTTATAATTAAACATACCTATTATATTGGTTGGTTGCTATAATATTCAAAACCGCATTTTTAGACAGTTCGAAAATAAGATTGTTTTCTCTCAAATACAATCAATAGTTCCCCGAGTATAGGTGTCTTGGCACCCCTATAAAATAGCAAGGATGAGGGGCTTCAAACGGAATATCTTTAAAATATAATAAAACACTGATATGATTGCGTTATCTACTGTATACATCACCAAAGCCTTTCTACAAGATTGTAATAATTTTAAATAGTATATGGTCACCGCATCCTGCGCTGTGGTACGAAATAAAAGCTTGTATCTTATACACCAGGAATTCTTCTTAATTAAGTTAAATTTGTATTATTAAACTCTTCAGGTGCTATGTGCTCGCCCGGAAAAAGTGAGATGGGTGCAGAGTGGAAATGGTGCATTAGTAGCTAATGCTGTTGTAGCGGGTAAAACATCAGCAGGAGAACCATTGTTTGTGGGCAGAGCTAAACATAAGGGATCGTTGACACCTGGCAAGGTATGCCAGCTCTTATTAATTACTATTTATATTTCGAAGCGCTGCACCCGTGGTATACAACTTATACCTACTACTTGCTGATTATGTTGTTTTCTGTACTTTCAAATATGTAGATAACATTATTAAAATCGGTCAAGAATATTTAAATTAATCCATTATGAACAAACTAATTCTGTCTATAATATTAGTAGATATTATATGATTATGATAATAATACATATATTGTAGACAAGTTGCATCCCTGGTTTCAGCCTGCGTGAATTTGAGGAAAAATTCATATCCTATATTAATCTATGTCAGTAACAAATTCTATCAATCTATGGTTCTGAGTAGTTTAACAAATTTTCTTCCATTTATCCATAGTAATATTATAAATGTGAGAGTCTATCTCTCTGTTATTGTCGTTGTTACACGACTTTATGAAATTTAACACTAAAACAGACATATTCGCGGTTTGTCGTTAATTGTAATTAATGACCAGCGACGAATATGTCTGCTTTTTTATTCCACATTTTTGAGTGGGTTGACAAATAGCCTTTTAATTTCTTTTGCAGGTTCATTCCACCCACAATGTCCTGTACATATCTTTTGCTGGATGTGAAATCGCTTATAGAGAATATGAAATATTGTGTACCGTCTAAAAGTATTCAGTTATTTCATTACTTTTTCATAAAAACGCGAACGTGCTAAAATCATTTTAACTATAGTAGTGTCGTCATTATATGTACATACCATATATTTTCCTGACGTTAATGAGTTTATGAAGATCTGCTATCAGTAGCATGTGACACCATAGATATTGTTTGCATATGTATTCTATACCGACCAACTATTTTGACACGTGTTGAAATCTAAACAAGAGGCATTATTAGATAATCAATAGAGTTAAACCTAATGTTGACTTTTCAACGTCCACATTAGTCTGGATGCAGAACTTGAATTTGAAGTAATTGTAAGAGGATAAAATACCAACTTAGTGACGTTTGTAGATTTATTAAATAATGTGGTTATACCTACCTACTGTAAAAGATCTGTTTATATTTATTATGTGCAAGTATCTCATAATCGATACGAGAAAATTAGATCTCCTTAATGTTAAATAATCATATATTTTTAGTAATATTTAAATGCTTTGAAAATGTAAAAGAGAAATAGAACTTTATAAATGTACTCATATATTTTTTTATTGCATCCTAGCATTGTATCTTCTTAAATAAATATTTTATTTTTCAGACGTTATTTTTATTTCCTTTACATAATACTCTTCCTATATATATATAACCTATATATATACCTAATTATTAGGTGGGGTATAATTACGAAAATAAATATTTAAGTTGGCTAAAATCATTGATGTACAATGATTTTAGCCAACTTAAATATTTCTATAGGTTTCATTACAATTTCCGTATGAAAGAAATAAAAAAGCTTAATATCATTATATTTTATTGCTTAACGTATACGTTAAGCAATAAAATACAAATTTTTTTGGTTGGTGGCTGGTGGTGTCGAAGCCACCGGCACTGTCTTCTTCTTTTTACGGCTGAGCCCCGCTTTTATTTTGGCACGCAGGCTAGCTCACTTATCGAAATCTCACGATTTTCTTAATTGCAATTGGAAAACGTGTATCGACAGCGTGCTTGCACAGGCCAATCGCTGTAGCACTAAGAGATAATATGTAATTGAAGAGGTATCGCTACTTATTTGTTTCCTGACATATGTATTATATGTTGAAGTGCGTTGAAAACATGTACCAAGATAGTCAGATGCGCGTAACGGAACGTAAATTAAGAATGATAATTGGAGTGAAACCGATCTTTATGACATTTTGTAATTAATCCCGAACTCTTCAGTACTATATTCTTTGATCCTGAAGTAATTGATCTACTAATAACATCCCATTAATTAGTTTTTAATTTGTGGTGAAGTTTCTATTGATTTTTATATATTTAAAAAAAATATTAACTTTAAATAATTTTCCTTTATTTATTCAACATAATATAGTTACAGTTTGACCTAACATTTTACCTATTATGAGCCAATAAACCATAGTTAAATGTATAAATTACCTCTTGTCACTTAAGTAGTGTACTGTAATATAATTATAAACTATTTAATTAAAATAATTATTTTTTGGAAAAAATAACTAAAATTCATCTTTCATATATTTAATTTGCTAATCTATTAATACAGCTCCAAAATAGAAACACAAAATTGTTATTCTCAAGATAATATCTCTTCAGTTGTTCAATATTTGTTTAGTTACGTGACAAGTTCACAAACAAGTGATACAAGTACCTACTGCCTGTTTTGAGAAAGCCGATCGATATCTTTATTTAAATTGTGATCGGAGAGAATTTTATTACCATAATGTCAGGATGTAAGTATCTAATATATTTATATCTTAAAGTGCCTTGTAATAATAATTAGAATTCCGTCTGAGTAACTGTAATACTATCATGAAATCATTACGAAATAGAAGTGAAAATTGGTACAATATAATTGGTGAAATATTGGTACATAAAATCTTACACACAGCACTAGTAGAAAAGTAATAATGAAAACTTTAATTATAGTACCTACGTATCTTTATAAAAAGTAAAACCTCACGAAACGATGTTCCAGTACGTAATCTATAGATCCATTATTAGAACTACTGAGACAGCAATACATAGCCAGGTCAGTCAGTATATTGAAATACATTTGCTATAAAAATTGCGCAATAATATATTATAGTTGTCAATACCATATAATTGCTATTTGTAAAAGCTTTGGCATAGTTGGTACCAGTTAATCAGTTAATGGCTATTCTTGGGAGAAAAGAATATGAAACTGAAAGACGATGTTTACAAAATTTAAGTAACCTTAGTATTTAATCATGTGATTGGAAACTTTCTTTTATGGTATGGCTCGGAGTTTCGATGAGTTTACCTATTTCGAGGTTGGAACAGACACCGCTTCTACCTACTATAATCTGTGGGTGCGGTACTTTTAATAGAGTTTGTTGAATATCTAAAAGAAAGCATATATAAACGTTACAAACATTGAGAATGTCACAAATAAATATAATAATCCACAAAGTCGGAATCCGAAATACTACCTTGTGTTAATGCGGGAGAACGAATGGGCTTCACCAAGTTGTCACTAGATGGCGTAAAACAAAAAAACGCAACAGTTGTCTGATCTGAGATATTAATTCTCAAAAACGACCAATGTACTGATATATCATCAAAAATTATAAAACCGGACTTAAAATAAAAAACAAATAATAAAATTACCAATATCAAAACTAACTATAAACGAAAAAGTGTGTAATAAGTTACACACATTTTATAAGCAATAATAGCAATAACAATGCATGTAGCATTGTTATTGCTATTATTTCTTATAAAATGTGTGCTGGCATTAGAAAAATCTTTTGATCTTTTGATTTATTTTATTTGAATATTTAGACTACTGCAATTGTTCTAAATAAAATGCGACAATGAAAGAACTTTTAGTCAACATAGACCAGATACTAAGAAAGTTTTACTATCGATGACTTCTGGATAATACCAATAATACTTATTGTAGAAAGCGATTTTAAACACTCAGGAAACGAATGTGAGCTGCATATGCAATTATAAAATAGAAATATCCAATAATTTACTCTACCTAGACTTACAAAACAGCGACTACGCTTATTATCTTGATACTAATGCTAACTTACAATTAATTAGGTAAGTTTTGCCATAACACAGACAAAATAAATGAGTTTGGAAGACAATGGATATTTTCAAATTTAAAACAGGTTCTAGAAGATAGTATTGCTAGCCAAAGCATTCTTATACAAGACATCACTGATTCGAAAAAAAAGTATTTTCTATTATAATCATATTTACATTCTATACCAAGACATCGCAGTACTTGTGAACTATCAGTGTTATTGTAAAATAAAACTTCTATTTTTTAGCGGTAGTGGAGTGGATTCATGCCAATCCAACTAGTGCAGCCGCGCTCGTAGAGTGGGCAGTTGTTGCAGGCTATGAAGGTTACGATAGGAGCTCTCTCTGAGTGATCCGAGCTTGGCATAAAGGAGGCTTGATACCTGGAAAACTGGCCATCAAACATCATACCGCTTACATTCCTTGGGGGGGTAAAGAGTACTCTGTGCAAGATATTGAGGTGGTTATTTATTCTACATTGTTATATTAAATTCTACATTATTACATTTTGCTCTGTATTATGACTAATTAACTCTAGCTAATTAACTGATACTAGATAACACGACAATGTGTAGGTATAATTTTTTTAGATGGGCTTAAGGTGACGTTTCTCCTATTTCAATAAACAAAAGCAATGAAACGCTAAATACTCATAGGAGTCATACCATACCATAAGCTACGTACTTGTATACCTAACGTGAATAGTTACAAACATTTCTGAAAATAAACATATGGAAAAAAAGATAAATTGTTGATTCATTGCTATAGAGTGCCTAATGTTATATTGTGAATCATTATCTCTGGCTTATATCATATTTATAATTAAACACACCCATCATACCCTATTGGTTATAGTGCTATAATATTCAAACCCGGATTTTTTTACAGTTCTAAAGTAAGGTCTCTTGTCACCTCTATAAAATAGCAAGGATCGGAGGAGCTTCAAACGGAATATCTTGAAAATAAAATAAAACAATGACATCCTATGAATCTCATAATACAAAACCACCTTCCGATGATTATGGAAGGTCATTTTCCGAAACGAAATCTGTGAAAATTTCATCCTAATGGTGTCCTCCTGCAAATTTTATTCAAACCTTAAGACAGACAAGTTTTTCTCATAGTCACAATTTTAGTACTTTATTATATGTAGAAAAGTGTCATCTAGTTATTAAAGAAATTAACTATTACTAAATTTATATAAGACCTTGAAGAGACTTATAACTGTTCATTGCACTAACTTCAAATCTTTATCAGAAATTCGGATTGAGTTATCTACTGCGTTAGGTAAACATCAACAGAGCCTTTCTACAAGATTGTAATAATTTGTAATGGTAAACATCCCAACCTACGCTGTGGTACAGAATATAAAATAAGTATATTATACACTAGAGATTCTTCTCGATTTAGTAAAAATTGCCTTATTAAACGTTACAGGTGCTATGTGCTCGTCCGGAAAAAGTGAGATGGGTGCAGAGTGGAAATGGTGCATTAGTACCTAAAGCTATCGTAGCGGGTAAAACGTCAGCAGGAGAACCTTTGTTTGTGGGCAGAGCTAAACATAAGGGATCATTGACACCTGGCAAGGTATGCATCTTATTAATTACTAGTTATATTTCGAAGCGCTCTACCCGTGGACTACGACTTATATTATTTGCTGATTATATTGCTTTCTGTACTTTCAAATAGATAATATTATTAAAATCGGCCAAGCATGTTTAAAAAAGAACCATTATGAAGAAAATAATTCCCTCTATAATATTAGTATTATGCGATTATGATAATAATACAAATATTGTAGACTACCTGCATCCCTGGTTTCAGCCTGCGTGAATTTGAGGAAAAAGGTATCCTGTTTTTGTCTAGGGTATAATTTATTTGTATAACAAATTCATTCAATTTACAGTTGTGAGTATTTTAACAAATTTTCATCTATTTATTCATAGTAATATTATAAATGCGAAATCTGTCTGTTGTTGTTGTTTACTTTGCGACTTTATGAAATTTTACAAAGATGTGTTATGAAATAATTTTAACTCAAAAAGTAGACAAATTTGCCGGTGGATCATTAATTACAAGTCCCCATTTTTGAGCGGGTTGACAAATAGACTTTTAATTTCTTTTACAGATTCACTCCACCCACAATGTCCTGTACATATCTTTTGCTGAATGTGAAATAGCTTATAGGAAATATGAAATATTGTGTACCGTCTAAAGGTATTCACTTAATTATTTAGTTCCTTTTTCATAATAACGCAAACGTGCTAAAAATAATTTTAACTATTGTAGTATTGTCTTTTATATATATATTATATATTTTCTACTATTAATGTTTTGAAAAAAATTCTGCTATCAGTAAGTAGCATGTGACACCGTAGATACTGTTTGACTTTAATTCAAATTCAAATTCTACATCTTTAACTCTATCTATCGATTATCTGATGATGCCTTTTGTTTATGGGTTATCGGTATAGATAAACTATGTATAGATTGACATAAATTTTACAAATAAATTGCTTATATTGTGAAAGATCTGTTTTAATATATGAAATTATTAGACATGTATAAGCAACTCACAATCAATATGAAAACGAAAGTAAAAATAAACTGATTACAATCTTTTTAATACATAAAACATAAACATATATTTTAAGTGGTGTTGCTATGTTCTGAAAATGTAAAACAGAAATAGAAGTTCATAAATGTACTCGTATATTTTTATATTGCATCCTTGCGTTGATACTTTTTAAATAAATATATTATTTTTTAAGAGGTTCTTTTATTTTGGCCATTCTTTGCCTTCGCTTGAGTATCAAATGGTTTAGGTATAATTCGGAGAATAACTTTTATTACAACAATGATTTTAGCTAATTTAAATATTTCTTCTGACTTCCTTAGAATATCGGTATGAGATAAAAAAAAAGCTTAATATTATTATATAACTTAACATATATTATTATTTACAATTATTCAAATTTATAAGTACCTGCACACGCACACTATTTGTATTTTATTAATTATAATAGTGAATTCAATTAAAATACTACATAAGTACTAGTTTTGTGAGACAATAGAAATCATAACCTAATAAATCGAGAATAGTATTTCCATTGCTTATTTTTTAAATTGTCTTATTTCGGTAACTTTTGAAAAGAATGTGAAATTTAAATTATATAATATTGTATACATTCACTATTGGGCTTATACTGTGTATCTGTAATCTCTTACACTATTAGAAAGTTCTTTTCTAGTAGTAATATATAAATGTAAATAAATTATAATTTAAACAATATATAAAACATCTACATTCAAGTACCTGTTTTATATGTAAATAATTCAAATAATGGTTAAATTTTGGGACATTAAATGTCTAAGTAGATATGTATAGGTTAAACTTTACATTCTCCTAACAGTGCAAGATAAATTACTTTATCTTTAGTATCTATATATTACTCAATTTATAAAAAATATCATAATTAGGTATATCACATTTTATACATAATCAAATTCTTTTCATCACATTTTATATCAGTCCTTAGTTATTTTTCTTCTACGATATAGTTTTTAATACCTTTTTGTCATAAATATTAAGGTAACATTGATATCATCTTTTTATATGGAATATCAGATTCGTTATTACTTTATTGATTTCGTTAACATGAGAGAGAGAGAGTCTGCCTAAGAAATTCGACGGTTAAATAGTTTATCTTTTAAATAATTAATTCCTATTTAAATCCACCCATTTAAATTGATGAGTAAAAAACATTTTTGATTAAGCCTGAATAAGACATCAGAAACTAATCCTATACTGATAAAGTGTGGAAAAAATAGTAATAATTTTATTAATTAAATGTATCAATTTTATAGTTAGAAACGGTTGTCGCTATAAGTCACTACTACATATCGCGCGCTTAGTATACTTTAAAGTAAAATTTTTAAAGAGTATTTCCCAAAATTAAAATTTACTTTTGATTTAATACCTTATTGTATTAAGATTAATATCGAATAAACTGCATTATTCTTACGAAAAAATACAAATAGAATTTGAAAGTTAATTTTATAATACATTTCTCGGTTTTTTAAGTAATACAGTGTATATACTATAAGTAATTATAACAATGCTCTATAGTCACTCATTACAACAATTTACATAGAAAAGTTCTCTTTTCTATTTTGTTATGTTATGAGCGGTAACAATGGTAACTATCCTTGTCACAATACATGTGGTGGAATGAAAAGGAATATAGATAATCTTTGCAAACTTTAACCAATTTATAACTACAGTTTACTAGTACAAAGCATGCTTTCAGTAAATCCCATTTCTATTTGAGATTGATTAATATTATCGTTTGCTTTCTCATTGAGCGCCTGAGTTGTGTTTATATTTTGTACTTTCTTATTGTCACTGCTTACAATTTCGTCAGTCTCAAAAGCTTTATTCTCGAGTCCTGTTTTTTCTGGGGTTTCTTCTGTTCTGGCCACGTTTTCCTTGGCAGCAGTAGCCTCTTCTGCTTTGATTTGTTTTTTATTCGCTAAGTACAACCATCTGTAATAAAGAAAATAAAACGGTTATGTTTTACTGTGAGTAGATAATATTACATGCTTTGTAAAAAATTGCATTAATTTCTACATTAAACTTTAGTCATTTGCTTGAGTAAAGTTAATGTAATATGTAATTTATTTTATTAATTTAATTTCGTTTAGAAATTTAAATACTAACAAGAATATAACAACTGCTGGTACAGTAAGTCCTCCTCCAAGAAGGAAAAATGCTCCTGGGAAACTTTTTATCGTGGCTGTGTATACTGTGGTATACATGGGAGCATATACCAGTGGCATCATAGCTTCAGCCAAACCGAAGAATGAATTCACTTTGCCTGAAAAAAATATAATCAATGTCATAGAGTTTCGAAGGTAACTATAGATTGAAGAAGAAAGAATTATCTATTTCTTATCATGTATTCAGTTGGTCTAAAATTTTGAACTAAATGTGAAGAATATCTCTCATTTAATGAATAACAAAGATTTTGAACTGCTTACATCAATCCACTTTGCAAAATGACATTAGATTGTTTATATTTTTTATACGAATGATAATTGCGGAATGAAATCTCATCTTCAATCTTACTGATTTCTTATTGGTCTGATATAATCTTGAAATATGTAAAATTTAAGTGAAGTTTAAGATTTTTATTGATATGAGGAAATCTGAATGTAAAAAAATAAAGCAAAAAAATAAGAACAAATATTACACCACAATTCCCTCTCCATTTCCCATAAGAAAGCAAAAATGAAAATTGTAAGATAATATAAATATGTTTACTTACCTAATTCGCCCCTTTCTACTAATTTTGACACCATAGACCTCATCGCTATAAATGATGTTCCATTGAAAATCTCGACCAATGGAGCTGTAAATATTAGATTACTTATTTCAGATATTACATACACGACATATACATACACAATATGAATGTCATATAAGTCAAGTAAAGTGTTGAATGCTTAGAGCATATCTTCACAGTTAATAATGATATATATATATATATATATATATATTTACTAGGATTTGCTCGGTCAATAGATGTAAATTAAAATGATATATAATGTGAAATGTTAAATCAGTTGAATCAAACCCTGTCATTTATCTGCTATATCAACATAACTCTCTTATTAAATATACTTAGGTACCAAATCTGGTTTGAAATCTGCAATATTTTGGATGTAATCACTTAATGTTACTTACCAATATAAATTTGCCAAGTTGTTGTAGCAAAAGCATACATAAACCCGGATAAAATTTTGCTCATACAAGATATTACTCCAATAATTGCGTCGTCAAACTTTAACAGATGACTGAAAACTCCAACGGAAAACAAAGTTCCTGGAATGAGATAAATTATATATTTAAAATATGCCATAAATGTATTTAGATATAATAATACAATATGGGTAAAAATATCACGTAAGTATACATTCGTATTTTATACTAGCAAACTTAAGTAGAATACAAATCTATTAAATACAAATAAATAAAATTTAAATGTCTTTGTAATATAAAATTAATAGCTTTTCCACTTAATGAAAGTAAGAATATATACGATCCTTACACCAAAAAACTACTTTAAAATATTTTTATCTGTCTGCCTGTCTGTTTGTTCTTGTAATCTCTGAAACAGCTACAATTCAGCCATTTTTCTTGGTACTTTCACTCGCAGATAGCTAATGTTAGCAGTGACTTAGATTACACAGACTGCAAAATGAAGTAAATAAATAAAAATAAATACGCTTCTACAAATACTTGACACAGTACAACAGTGGTATCCTTTTTATTTATTTGTAATTAGTTCAGTTTTGTAGCCATGTAATACCTATCGTCGTTTACTGTCATTATATTTCTTTATACTGATATAGTATCTGTAATATTTGACCTTATTTTTTCTTACTACCTAACGAAGAACGATTTTTCTATCATATCTACCGTTACTAACAAACTAATGCGGGACAAATGCAACTAATCGTCGACTAATTGAAAAATAGCCAATTAATACAAGGCAAGCACTAAATTCCTAAGTCATTTGCTAATATTGGCTTCACGTGACATTTAGTGGCTTTAAGTAAACTCTTGCAATCCAGTTCCAGTATTTAAAGATTTCCTTATAACGATAAGTTGATAACATCATCTTTTTATATAAGAAAAAACATATATATATTCGTATATGTAATTGTAAATCAATGAGAATATAATGGTATTTATTATAGCAAATAAACATGATAAAAATACAAGATACTTTATTTAGGAAACAAAAACATAAGGAAGATTCTTCTTATTAGAGCTTTCTTGTTTGCATAATGTGTTAGTACATATACTTTCGACTAGTGTATAAAGTAACCTGAATTTTTGAAATGTGTGAATTATCATTAATACTTTACATGGATAAGGTTTCTAGTAGTTAGAGTATTATTATGTGAGTATAATTCATTTTAATAATAGACACTGTAAATTCTGTCATTTCATTTTAGGAAAGTCGTATGCAATTTGCATTTTTAACCGTGCCACCTACTAATCGATATACCATTCCATTGTTATAAGGGAAAACGTTTTCATTACGTAGGTAGCTATAGATTTCGCTTATAAGAAATTAATATAAGAATTCAGTAAATAAAATCAATGAAATTATATATTCCAATTCCAAAGTTATCTATAGATCCGTATAAACCTTAATAATAACGTTATCTGAAGAATATGTAGTGTAAACACACCTCACCGCCTGATGATTGCGTATTCGATTCCCGCGCTATACATTTTTTATGATTATCAATATTTGTATTGGTTTGGGTGTTTTTATGTAGGCATTTCACATATGTATATATTTATGTATTCAATCAGTTGTATACTACAGTAAAAGTCTGCTCAGTTTGGATTAGATGGAGCTGTGGAATATCCACAGTTTTATGTTTGTATACGAAACAAAAAAGTAACTAGTACTTACCAACCAAAGAAGTACACATTGCGTAAGTTGAGAACATGCTAAAATCGACTTCATTCCAGTTGAATCGATACCTAGTGAATAAATACATCACAGACATCTCACCTGGAAAAATATGACTGTAAGTTAGGTACATACTTCATAAAAAATATTTTTCTGTTGAAAAGCCCATTTATCATATATAGGCCACCATATCATTATAACCTATATAGGCTTTCCCCGATAAATGGGCATTTCAGAAGTAAAATATTTTTTTAACTCAAACTACTTGTTCTTACTAATTAACATGTTATACTAAGCAAAGTTTTCAGCTTATATGCTTTATAACATTATTTTAAATTATATTGGCACCATTCAATATGATACATCGAAATTTGTTTTGTAACTAAAATAATATTTCTTAGAATTATAGACTATAAGGTAGACTTAATAAATACAAAATACATTACAGAATAATAGATACAGGTTTCTGAAGGCGACAGACTTCATGATTTTATTGTCAACTCTCACGCAACAGAATATCAGGTTTTTCTCAGAGACAATAGAAAGGTATCCGGAACCAGTATGTGTGCATAAGATGATTTGTAAATGTGAATGAAACAAAAGAATCGTCCTGTTTTAAAATACCTACATACTAGTCCAAAGTCGACCGCGATCTACCGACATCGTCTTCACTTCGTATTTTAATTAGGCTTTGCATAATACATATGTTCTATAACCCTTATTATTAACTATGGGTATCTCGAACAGTTCTCTAGGTTTTGGCAATGTCCAAGTAATGTGTATGGGCAAGAAGTTCTATATCTTATGGATATTGGTATCGTATCGTATACGGCCTGCGCGGTTAGTTGCCTAAACTAGGCTAATAGGGTACATATATAGGTATATTTATAGAATGTGACTCTAATGTCTGCATATAAAATGTAAGTACACTGTTATTAAAAGAAAAAATACAGTATAAAATAGTTACAATTTGACATCAGACTCTGAACAGAGTTCGTCGACACTGGACAAGCGTGACAAGTTCAGTAGAAAGTAAAAACTGGACAGAGAAAGCAATGCCATAACTAACATAACTGCAATTCAGAATAGGAACTCCATACAAGGTCACTGCGCCGGTACAAAAATAACTAAGAAGTACCTTCATATAATGCGTATCAATCTAAGTGGAACGTACAGGAAATCGATATAATAATAAACTTTGACAATCAATGAACTATGCATTTCAATATTTTTTATACAAACTAAATCGTTCATTTGCTTAATGGCAGAATGCGTGCTGAATTTTCCCAAATCAGGCATCAACTAATGTAGAAATATAATTCATAATACTGTACTAATAATAGTCTTATATGATATAATAGGTACTTACGAATACGATGGAAATTACCATTCGCTATAAATAGAAGTCAGTTACTTAAATATCATAATCCACGATTTAGTATATGGAAAATTTCTATATTTTATTTTTTAAAGGTTGTAGAGGTTGATGGATGGACTTTTATGCGAGATGTCGTTAATTTTTTTTTAATCCTATCGTAACGGACCCCTAGTAAAATTTTAAGGTTTTTATATAATTATAATAGCTTTGGCCGTTCTGTTAGTAAATCTAGACAAACAATTTTATAAGCATTTCAATAATTATTTTAAGGATACAATACATACCGTAAATAGGTCCAATAACGACACATAACACAATCACTAGCATAATGACTCGTAGTCTTCTATTATTCGGTCCTTGCTTGAATGCCACCATGAGAGTTTCCTTCACATACCGTATATCAAAGAACACCTTTAGCCATTGACAGCAACTAGTAGTCTTCTGAAAATATTCATACTTTCTTATCAAAAGCGTGTATCCTTCTGCAGCCTTATTGTACAAGATACACCCAAGAGTCCTAAGTCTCCGGATCTGTCTTAACTTATCATATTGAATGCATTAAATGCTCTTTTTCAATGATTATTATGCATTGATAAATCATTGTAAAGGAGCAATAGCAATATGATAAAGTAAAACAGATCCGGAGACTTGTAACTCTTGGGTGTATCTTGTACAAACCTGCTAATACAACCTCGGATACTTGTTCTGGTATAGAATACAAAGATGCTTTTTGCTTATCTATACCTAATAGTATGTAAATTAAATCAACCTGATAATCAAACTATTTTAATTTGAACTCGAGTTCACTAGATATCGCAGAGAAATCACGTCTTTCGATTATTATTGATTTTCTCTTTTGCTGCGGCTGAATTCCAATAGATTTGTCAAAATTCCGAATTTCCATACTGTTGAAAGGTGGTATTATATTTACTTAAATATGTATGCAAATCAATTAACAAGTCCATTGTTTAAATTATGATAATTGACATATTGATAGAACGAAACCAAAAGATGATACGAAGACAATAAAATGGGTATCGGGGGTATTTGTAATCCTAATCGAACCTTAATTCCTAATCCTTAAGCACTAATTTTGAAGGCTCTCCTTTCAATCGACTGTGACACTAATTTGGGTCAAGTTGACGGACTTTTTATACAGTTGCGCTCGAATAACCTGATTTAGTCATTGAACTTGCAATCTATTACATAATTATAGCGCGGATGAATTCCATGGCCGTTTCATTAGCAGTCTCGTCAAAACAAACATAATTTCTTGTACTATAAAAAATGTATTTAAATAGCGTAAAGAGGAGATACTTTTTTCTGTTATTATAGTGTTTAAATAATCAGCGGATAAGCTATTACACACAAATACAAATAATTTGTAATAGTATCAGTATTCTTAGCATTTAATAGCATCTGCATTAACTGGGAGACCACCCGCCCGATTTGAATTTTATTCATTAGTATTTACAAAGTACAACAATTATATTAAATTCAGAATAATAAAATTTATTTAATCAAATTCAAATAATTATCCTGAAACTTTTTTTTCGCAAGTACATACATAATACACATAGAAAATCACCCAGATCGACACAAACAATCCTACTCATGAATATATATGTTTGTACCGTGCGAGGAATCGAACCATCGGAATAAGGCGTTGTGCTATACCACTAGACCACCAAGGCCCTCATCATCATCATTTGCTTCTTCCTTATCCCATTTATTTGGGGTTGGCGTAATAATTCATCTGGACTTGTCGCAACAGATTACTATAACAAAGAAACTCTCAACAATTCAAAACCCAATAGTAAGATAATTTATTCCAATTCTGTATCAAACTAAAAATAATAAAAATGACAAATTTATATGTATGCAATACATTTTACATCATATATTATGTATTAGTCGTGACCCAGTGTTATAAATACATAATATGCGCGCATCTACATTTCATTAACGAAACTCAATAACAACGTACAAAATGCACATAGATATCAGTATTAAAGGTCAGTCACTAAGTATGGACCTGGCCAATTATACCTATTTATAATACAAATAGAACCTTGAGAAAAGGAACGGGGCTCATAATATTTCTTAAAAAATAAGATTAATAAAGAAGCCGACTGTACAAGTATCAATTAGTTTAATATATATAAAAGAACTTATATGTCGACTTGCGACCAGCAATTTGTTTTATACGTTTTTTTACTGGTCTTGCTAAAACACAAAATTATATATTTTAATATTTTTGTTTGTTTTGCTTGCTATAAGGGTGATTTACTTTATTAAAAAGATCATAAATTCCTCACAAATCGTCTGTATAACTAAAAAGACAAAATAATAAAAAATCTATCTATCTAAACATAATAAGAAATATCTTCATCTTTATTAAAAAATCAAATTTTAATTGAATAACATAACTATTCAGGTCGCTAACGCAAATATATTTATTCCGTAATGAATATCTGAGTAATTGAATATTCAAAGTCATTTTTCATCTGCTATTTAATTATATTCAAGAACTGGACCATAACTGTTATTTTCTCGATCCAATAATTTATTTAAAGACAAATAACTTTTTATCTAGTCCAATCATGCATATAATTTTATTTAATGGCTAAACCGACGGACATTGTCTTACTCAGTGCACAAACTATCATACGTTTCAAATAAGTCTACAAAAGTCTTTAAATTTTCTGTGCAATTTTCTTCCGATTTATCAATTAAGTTGTACCCATCCTTATATATCTATAGCCTTCTTTTAGTTAGAGATCTATGATAATTAATAAAAAAAATATAAGTATTTTCATACTTACGGTTTCAACGGGTTTCTTCACTTCTTTAATCCGATAATATCCATAGAAGAAACTTATAAGATACAAAAATGCACTAAGGGAGAAAACACCATATAAACCAATTTTTCTCACTAATATTCCACTAAGAGCTGCACCCACTGGTACTCCTAAGGAGTAAAATAGATTCACTATGCCGATTCTCAACGTCCTTTGTTCTTCCGTGGTCACGTCTGCTATATAACTAAATACTCCCATGAACATCGTAAACCAACCCCCAGTCAAAGCTGGAAATATTGCTTCTGTTACTGCTGCTACTTCCACGGGTAATTCATAGAAAAAATAAGTATTTACAATGAGACCAACACTTGTTAAAAATTCTCCAATTATTGGCAGAAGCATACAGAATTTTCGCTGTCCCACTCTATCACTGTACGCACCAAGGAATATTAAAATTCCACAAGGTAAGAACGATTGCAATACGGTTTTCCATCCTGCTACCGAGGCGACTAATGTTTGCACAGTTTCTTCTTCTAGTGTATAGTTCTGAGTCTCTCTTCGAGTTAAAGCGTCACATATATGATGATCATATGCCAAATTAACTCTACAGGCTTTCTCTAAATACAAATTTTGAGTTGCTAATGCAGAGAGTACTGAGGGCATTACATAGCATGCTAAAATTGGCTCTACTGTGATTAGAGATATCATTCGCTTTGTTTTTTGAACAAAATCTAATTCGCCCCAGTCATCTGTGTGATCCTGTTTTTGTTTTTCATTTTGTATTTTTTCTATTTTGCTATTTGTTATGCCATTCTTAATCGTGTTATTTAAATTTAAGTTATTGCCTTTAGTAACTTTAAGTGACTTTTCATCTGGTTTACCGTCGATTGCCATAATTGCATTGCATTCAGGTATCTGAAACAGAGAATTACTTTGACATAATTTGCTGATTACATGAGATAATTTAGCTTAATAAAGAAGATTTTCAAAATTTGATTGATAAATATACTACCGCCGGACGTTGTAATCATATCATGATTGCCTACGTAGGTACTTACCGTAATCATTTCTGACTACTAGTAAAATTAACTTTGTCCTATACAGTGTCCCCATAAAGTACTTTATCGTACAAAAGGACTGACATTTTGAGTTAAGTCACGTAAAATGATTTGTTTTATTCCATGTATTATCAAGTGTAGTATTTATGTGAGAATTTTATCTTTATTTTTATGTTTTATATAGTACGATTAACTAGTTTGAGTATGTGCTTACATATACAAATAACTAAGATAGGACACGAATGTTTTGTGTACATTGTAATGGCTAGTCTCACAATGGACCATTAAGCTGACAATCCATTCCGATGATTGAGGAAATTACATTTTAGTTCATCAATTCATGAATTTGGATAGGAATTGGTGGTTGATCTAATTGAATATAGACTACCATTGATGTTTTCTTTTGTTAATAAAATCTGTATTAACAAAAGAAGGAAAACAGATAACCTTGACAGTTCCCTTATATATATACTACATAATAATTCATTTCATTTATTTATTTAAATCTAATGCATATAATCTAAAAGGTACATATAGTGGACATAACACATAATTCGATTTTGCACGTAGCAACACCTAATAACTTTATTACTTACACGTCAAGAAATTAATTTATGTTTTACTACCTTTAGCAACAACTGGCAGTTACCTCAATATTTATTACATTACAAGCCGGCATAAGTACCTACACAATCAATCGAAATTTCTCAAGATAGTTGCTTCTTATTTCTGTTTTCTTTACATTCTTTGACTATTCAAATGTATCTATGATACATTATCTACACTACTACTATAAACAGGAAACATTTGTTTCTAAGGAATAAACTTAATACTACAAGATCTATTTATAAATTCTTCTACTATTAGAATGCTACATTAATCCTTGATATCATAGGCAATATTTTATACTAGGTAAAAATTAGGCATCCCTACTAAAACTTCCATTAATTAACCCAAGGTGTAATATAATCAGTGTTTCTTCGTATGCGCTGCGGAAATGTCCGCCCTCGCGAAGCCGGGATAGTCATAGAGCATATGTCTGGATAGAATTACTGCTGTAGTCATTTAACAGTTTTTAGTTAGTTACTAAAAATTGTTAAATGACAAAGTATAGGTTTTAGCAGTCAACTAATTTACCACTCAATTCTTATAATAGTTTGTTATTACGATAACAAGCGGATGTTACAAACGCCACAAAAAATCTGACTCCTTCATTTCCAAAACAAATCATACCAAGTACCTTGGTCGTGAAGTATTGATAGAACATAACATAATAAACCACACAATATCTAGAGCATTATTCACAATAAGTGTTCAGGCAAGAGACAATTTGGTCAGTTTGAGCTGGTTAAGTATAAAATTCGGGACCTTATAATGTGATATCAGAAAGTCAGAAAATTAGGTTATTTTCAAATATTTTTTAAATTGCTTTTGCATTGCTTTGAAAATACTGAGCTGACATTGCAATTTCTAAAATACATGTATTTGTCAGTTATCATTAAGTAGATAATTTACATATAACTTCAGACTTTGAGATGAAACTTCTAAGAAAACATGAATAGCATTTCTAGTTTACATAATAAATGTAAAAAATAAGATTTTAATACGACAGGAAATCAATGTATAAGCTATATACAGGTAAAGAAATATAAAAAAATTCATTGAGATGTAGCATGCATGCCTTGACGGTACTGCCTTGACTCGGTGGTCAAGGTGTTACCATTCTATGTTGCCAATTTGAGGCCTTTACTAAAAGCAATCATTACAATATATATACTAATCTTTCGAAAAGTTAAGTTCTTAATTGATTAATCATTGTTGAACTGAAATTTGTGCAGTACATGTCAGATAAGAAGAGGTTAATGAAGTTCACACCTAATAGGGGTAAAGTAATTGATGGCCTGTGGTTTTTTGGTTGCTTTGTTGCCTTTATTAGTGAACAATCTATGCATTTGATTAGTAAAATTGTACAATAGTCACTTAGTGACTGTTTTAAGTATTCGTTGCCATTATATCATCGCCAAATTTCTTACCAGAATTACGTATTATGAATTAATGTAGTTTCAATGGGTATGTAGTAAATATGAATAGTCATTTCTCTGTTGCCTGTAATCAGAAGAGACAAAGAACGATTGTTTTCAAAACATTACACGTCTCACAATGTTTAATGTTTATAGGTTGGGGTGCCTGTGCATTTGTAAATATCCTGAAAAAGAATGTGCTGTTGGTTGTACGACATTCAATGAATATACTTCTGTGTTCAAAACAAAATAACTGACAAAAATGAGAGAATTATATGAATTAAAAAAAAAAGACGACGATGATGTATATGTAATAATACTATGAAGAAGTTATTATATTCATTCAGTATACAAGGAAATTGCTCTCTCCAACAGGATTTATTTATCAGTTTCTGCAACTATAGCTTTCTGTAGTAATTTTAGAAAGGGTTGTTGTAAGGACTTAATACACAGTGTTTGTAAATATAGAGAAATATACAAGTAAAATATGTATATAATTGGTTAAATAAAATAATTTTGAAATAATTAGATAATTAAAAATTTATGAACAATTGAAGACAACGAATTCACTACCTTTCTAAATAAAAAATATTTATAACAATATAAAATATCATTTCTTCTTATAACTTAGGATAATATACTGTAGCCTAAGGTCTAACTTGGCAGTTTTCATATACGAAATATACTGTAGCCTTCGCAAGTTCTAAACATGTTACTTGTCGGTTCTTATTTTAATATTAGTAGTAACTAGTAATCGAAAGTAATAATTGGTATATGAGAACTGGCCAAGTTAGACCTTAGGCTACAGTATATTATCGTAAGTTATAAGAAGAAATGATATTTTATATTGTTATAAATACATTTCAGGACAGACCATTGAACTTGGCACCCATTTAGATCTCATCTCTTTTGTCGTAGAAGTCGACAATCAAGGCATATATCATAATATTAAACTCGGCTATCATTTCACATTTATGTTTTTGATGGGATATCATTACTTTTTGTACATAAATTATACGAGGTACTTATTTATAACTAAATTAATACCAAATTATTTTTGATAAATTACTGTATTTTCGTATATTTACGGGGTATAATTGTCTTTTTTTTTGTGTTGTTTTCTATATTTTCTTGTAACTTTTAAATGTTCAAGTGCAATGCCAATTCAGTTTCAGGAATTTTTGGGCAAATCGGGGCGGTATAACGTCCACAGATGGTTGTACTCTACAATAGAGCTCGCGTGACTTGGATCTAAATTGTTAAGACGTACTCCATCTAAGGTTTTAACTCTGGAGAGTCCAACGTAAACCTGCCCTTTATTAAATATAGAGGAGGCTATGTTGAGAAGAGGACTGCCAAAACTAAGGCCTTGTGATTTGTGGATAGTAATAGCATATGTTAAGCAAATACGGAATTGTTCTCTATCAACATATACATTATTTAATATCTGAAACTTCGTATTGACACGTTATAGTTCGTAAAGACGATTATGTAACAAATTGACTGTTATCTATTGAATTCTCAAGAAAACAATTTGTTACCAATGAGTTCTCATTCTCGAGTTAACTGTACATTCCTACTTATAACTATACTAAAATTGTTATTAATTTTTGGTTTAAACTATTGTCTATACCATACGTATTTACTAAAATAATGTAATAATAATATAATCACAAATATATAAGTATAATTTAAGAAAGCTATAAATTTCGTAGCATAAATCGCAACCTTATAGGTTAGATATCGAGAAACAAAACATTGAGACATGAGGGCGGCTGCCATTCGCTCGGACAGGTTCGCGTCAACGTTTTATCGCACCGCTCCCACACGGCGCCGCCGCGGCGCCCTATACCGAAATGCCTATTATTTAATAATTATTTATAAAAATAATGATTTTACACTATCGATGTGCGCTAAATATTGAAACAATAATTAATACCAAATCTCAGTTAATAACATAATAAATACGAAATTCGACTATACTCCTAGTTATAAGTACGAGTATATTTTAGACAGAATCTAAATTATAGCAACTTGTGTTTACCGCTCAATGCAATATTTGAAGTTTGCTAGTTATCGACACTGATGTGAAGGGGTCAACGTAAATTGGTAATGATCGACGTTTTCATACAATATTACTTTCCGTCCAGTACAAGATGAGATTTTTCGCCAGGGATCAATGTCAATTGGTGGCTATCGACGTTTTCATAGAATTTTAGTAATCGTCCAGTATAAGTTGAAATAGAATCAATTAAAGTGAAAAATTGTAGTAAAATGATAACAATTTACCAGTTTCAGTTTTTTCAACAATTTTTCACTTTATATTCACCTAATTACCTATCTGCATACCAAATTTGAACTTCCTAGGTCATCTGGAAGTGGGTTATAATTTTGATCTATAGTTGATCAGTGATAAAAATGACGATTTTTGGACATTAATATCTAAATAACCGTTTGAGATATGTTTATGAAATTTGGAACACATATTTATCTCGCAAGTCTCAATATATGAACCAAATTTGACAGGTTTGTGTGAAAGAGTTTTGGAGTTATGAGGGGGTCAAAAGTGGCTCCAAATGGTTCGTGTAAATATACACACGGTGCTGCAGGCCAGTTTACTTGAAATAACGCTGCCGCGTGTCTAGATTCAATATGGTCAGATATAAATTTAATAACCAAAGTTTCAATAATAGTCATCATGATTTCCACCAAATTCAGATTATTTGCATTCTTCTTAAAATAATATACTATCAATTTGTGAATTTACATTTTCTTTTCATCTCTCTGTAATTACGCTATTTCTCATTTTATATTTCAATATTGCAAGATACAAGTG